TTGGTGAGCGGGATGGAGGTGCGGTGCAGATGTATGCTCTTGGAATTCGCTTTCGTTGTCGAAGCTATGGCCGCAGAACTCGCATCGAAGTGGATAGTTGATTTTGTGGATGTCACGGTGATGATCCCAGATCGCATTGAATGTGTGGAATGATCTCTTGCATCGGTTGCATGGGAATGGTCGTTCGACCTCCATTCCATAGGAATCAAGAAAAAAGAAGTTTAGAAGCAAAAGGAGGTTTGGTGAAAGCGGAGAACTGGAGAAATCTTTGAGTTACTGGGGAATTTTTCTGGTTGCAGAGAAGAGAATTAGAGAAAGACTGGGAAGAGACGACGAGTAATTTCCCCTTAAATAATAAAATAAAAGCATTCTCCCGCCACTGGGGAATTGGGCCAATTGTATCTTCGTTCCGCCAAGAGAAAACTGGGCTTCAACTAGGCCCAAATTCAACTGGGTTGAACTTTTTAACAATTTGTCATAACTTTCATTAATTATTGGACGATTTCGTATAGGTTATATTATCGTTGTGCGCTAGAATGCTATATTGATTTTTCATTTTCTTTCAATCCACCATTTGATTTCGTATAGGTTATATTATCGTGGCTGATTAATGATAGTGAGTTATTTTAGGGCTTTGAAGTAGACGACGCGACCGAACATGTGTGTTAAAATTGATAGATGATTGATGTGTTGTGCTCGCTAGTGAGTATATGAATAATTAAAGTACTGGTGTATGAGGGGTTTTACTGTTTCTTCCTGTTTGGTGAGTCGATAATGTTTTCTATTTTATGAAGAACATGTGTGTTATTCTCCATAATGTTTGAACTCTTAATTTTACAATGAGACTCTCACGTGAGTGGCAATCGAGCATAGTGTTTGAGTTAAGTCGTCAAAGGGCTTTTCTCTTGGCTCAGAGTGCCCTTCGAAGATGTGTTTAGGGTTCAGATAACTTTATTACATCCCGATCATCTCTCCCTACTTACCATCCCCCAAACACCTCTCATCCTCACAGAATCGTATGCCAAGGTACAAAGTACCTTTTAGCGATTCAAGAAACCTCAAGCTCTCGTTTGTACCCGACATGTGGCAACTCAATGCGGAGTGCATGCTGGGAAGTGGTGCTCGGGCTAAGACGAATCTGCTCATCAAACTCCCCATATGTGACCTTAATAGGGAAGGCTATGATCCATCCGCTCTTGGTCGTGAGGGAGAGATGCTTTGCTTTCAAGGAAGCTTGCAAAAGTTCGGTGCAATGTGCATGAACGAGGAAAAATGAGACCAATAAACGACAACTCCTACATTGAAAGAAAAAATAAAGAGCACCCTCTAGAGTTCCCGTGCTTAATAGTATATGAGAAATCTCTCTGAGCACATCTTGAATGTTCGACCTAAGGTAGTAGGTATGATCATCACCAATGAGTTGTGCTTGCACTAGGGGTGGGAAACCGGTTCGGTAAACCCGACCCGAATTAAACCGACCCGAAACTGGATTAGTGCTATTTGGTTCGGAATTCGGAAGGAAAATATGGATAGTTCGGAAATCAGGGTTCTCTCAACCGAACCGAATTTCTGAATTTCCGACCAAAAAATCGAAATACTATAATTGCAAGCTTCATATGGTGGATTTTTATGTTTGCAGTTGTTTTTAACTTTTTATACTTAAATATTTGAAATGTTTTATGACTTATGTGTTGAAAAGTTTGATTTTATCATTGATGATGCATATAATTACATATTTATTGTTTATATTAGGGGTAAAAAATAATTAAAAAGTGAGAAGATACAAGTAGCTTCACAAATTTGGTTTTGTGTGCAAAACCGAACCAAACCGAATTATAATTCGGTTTAAACCGACCAAACTGAATTATAATCGGTTCGAATTCGGTTTGAGGTTTGGGAGAATTCGGGGACCCGATATTCATAATTTCGGTTCAGTAAAAACCGAACCGACTGAATGCCCACCCCTAGCTTGCACAGTAAGATAAGAGTAACTTTTTTTCGTCTTCGTTTTCTCTTATTTATGCAATGAAGAACTAGAGTGCACATCTCATTGATTTGTCTATTAGGTTGCCTTGGTTTGAGTAGGTTTGCTTGGGGACAAGCAAACACCTAAGTGTGCGGGAGTTTGATAACACTAGAAACAGTGTTATTTATCCTTCACTTTTTAGATGATTTATTGATGAATTGATCTTTAATCGTCTTATAAAATGTTATTTGCATTCTCATTCCTTTCCTTTTCATTTGCGATGCTGTTTTGGGACGCATTTGACGTTAAGAGCAAGAATGAAGGAAAATGTGCAATAATGTTTAGGAACAAGGAGAAAAGGACAGAAAATGCAAAGATCACAGCTGAAAGGGGCAAGATCCCCTCCAAGAAGCGTGACCGCGAAGTTTCCAAAAAGATCTCAAGACAAGTATGAAAGATCCCAACCGCGAACAGGAGCGCTTTGTCCGCGAAATCTGGAAGAAGCATCGCCTGGAGAATAGAGAGTTTTCTCACTCGAGTCGCAGGCTACGTCAATTATGACTGTGAGAAAGATCACGACCGCTACACATAAGTTCGCGCCCGTGATCTTTTGCCTTCAGGCCGCAAACTTGCCAGAGAATTCGAGTGCTTATAAATAGCAGCTGCTGAGAAGAAGAGGAGTCGCCCTAGAGTGAGAAAATTAGGGTTTTGGGTTGTTATTAGAGAGGAAAACACCTTGGGAGAGCTTAATTGAAGATCCAATCCACCCAAGGAGCAAGAAGAAGGTGCAAGCAAGGAGAAGAAGTTTGATTCCATCACTCCCCTCTTCTAGTTTATGTTTTTTTTCTCTCTCTCTAATGACTTGAATCTCTCATGGTTGTTTAAAATAGATGAACCCTAGATTGTATGTTGGTATTTGAATGAGTTGTTATATGGGTATGTTGTTCTAGTGATTTTATGCCTCATGTGTAGGTAGTTACACTTGGGTAAGTCGCCCTAATCTTCCCTACTAGCCTACTTGAGCTACTACGTTGGGTTTGAAGTTTTTAGTGTTAGACGGGTATGTGTCATCCAACAGACTATTAATAGTGAGTTATTTCAGGGCTTTGAGGTAGACGAGGCCACCGAACCCCTACCTCTATAGCGCCTTCCTAGAACAATGCTTTGGGAGTTTCCGCAGAAGTGTGTGATAGGTTGAACCTATTTGAAGAAACTAAGAGAGCATCATTAGCGAGGAAACTTAGATCGAGGTGACATTGGGTCTTTGTGGGTAACACTAGAAGGTGGGAGAAATCCCTAGATCAAAGAGTCCTGCACAATATTCATTAACTCAATTTACCGGCTATACCTAGGGGAATTCGATTCTAGGCAACCATCTATCTCTAGCGACCTCCCAACCATCGGTTGGTTGTTTATTTTGCCTTTAGGAGTAGATAGGATTAGACTTTTCACCAAACCTTTGAACCGATTAGATAGTAGTTCGGAGTGAAGTAATAGTAAGCTTAGGGATACTTTGGAATACGACCGAGCCACTTTGCTACAACCCTAGTTGGGTTATACTTTGCTTAGTTAGGGTTGAATAGAGAGTGTGCATCGACTTATAAATTTAAAGTTCGATCACACAAGAGCGATCAACCCTTGGTCGCCCTAATAGGAACATTCATTTTAACATTGGGACCGAAAAGAAAAACATATACTGCTATTACTAGCATTTTACCCGGTCCGTTGGCCGGGTAATGTTTGTATGATATGGTCGTTGGACATGTTGTAAATTTTCAATGCACGTGGCACTTTATCAGTTTGTTTGAATTTCTTTAGTGTGTGATATCCCATGAGGTCGTGTACAGATATGGTATTTTAAGAAAATTGAAATTGCAATAGAAACATAAATAATATTACTTTCTTGGCAAGATTAATTAATATAATAGATGGATTTTACTAATTAATTTTACAATTAATGTTATCGAATAGAATTTGTTTTACTGGTTAGAATCTTTGCACTATAATGATCTATGCCTAGTATGTTGTGTGTTTAAATCCTAGCAATGCTTATTTATATGTTTATTTTTTTGTTAGTATCTAGTTTAAAATATAAAAAATAAAATAAATAAAAGTGACATTGAAATCAAGACTGACGTGGAAGCGTGAGAGGAGATGAAATTTGAATTCGTGAATTGTTTATTTGGAAAGTCCTTATTATATTATATAGATATAGATAGATAGATAGATAGGTATAATAGGCAACACACAAAAAAAATTCCCTCTCTCTCCAAGGCGCGGTAAAATAAAAAATTACGAGTTCCTGTTAGGGCTGGAAGTTTCGTACCGGTATTTGGTATATACATATCAAATACCGTACCGAACTTATCACTATTTGGTATTACCGAGTACCGATTTATTTTTTAGGGATCAGGATTGAGATTCATTTTGGAGTGCTATTCAACATTCGGGATTACGGGATTGAGATCGGTATATATCAAAATATACCAAAACACCGAGAAACAACAAAAATTAAAAATTAATGAATATATAGCACACAACTCTTGGTCATTTCCCACTCCTTGATAACTCACAAGTCCCCATCCAACTCGATTTTGGCTTTTCAGTTTCAGTCACTCTCGTCTCTCATCTAATCTCTTGTTATTTTCATAACATAAAAAAGAAAACGCTAGTATTAGTCGTCTCTCAGCCTTCAATTGAGTTGTCACCTCTCCTCTCTTATCTCTATCCATGTCCTAACTCTAGGTAAACTCAAGACCCTTTACGCAGTCTCATTGCCATAAATTAAACAATAAATTCTAATTTATATATTTAATCATTAATTGTAAATGTAATTAATTTCGTATTCGATAATATCGATTTATATACTGAAATACCGAGTAAGATATCAAAATATTTAGGGATTGAAATTGACATACTGAAATTATTTAAAAATTGAGATTGATTTTAGTGTGTAATTCAATATTCGAAATTTCGATACGTGGTATTGGTATACCGAATTCCACCCAACTCCCTGTGACGCCACCAGAAGGCAATAAGGTTAAAGTAAAGACATTACAAAATTCAAGAACAAAAGAGGTGGAGAGGAGACAGAATCGAACGAAAGAAAAAATAATTCAAAATGCAACGAACAGTGGGAAAGAGATAGCGAGCGAGCGAGCGAGCGGAAGTTATCATTTCTGCTTTCCTTCGGTTCTTTATCGCCCTGCTTCTCTGATACTTCTCCCCTTTGGAACTCAAATCCTGGTTTGAATCTTTCAAAATTGGCAGCCATTATTTCATCCGCCAGATCTTCCCGTCGACCTCACTAGGGTTTTTGAGGATTCGATCTTCCACTACGGATCGGGGTTTCCAGATCTGGTCGCTTGTTTGTTTCCCCCTTCACTGCTAGATTTTCCTCCAATCTCCGATCGTACCCGCGGCGGCCGTGCGTTTCAATTCCTCCGATTAAGACATGGACGCGATCGAGGAGCTCTCTCAGCTGTCCGACTCCATGCGGCAAGCGGCGGCGTTGCTCGCTGACGAGGACGTTGACGAGGCCGCCAGCTCGTCCTCTAGGCGCGCATCCACTTTCCTCAACGTTGTTGCCCTGGGCAATGTTGTGAGTCGTCCTCTTCTCTTCTCCTCTCCTTTTAGTATTCATTTCAATCTCTGGATCTAGATGAAGAATTGACTGGGCATGCTGGACCGTTTGTTTCCTTGTATATGTGAATTTGGCTACCGGATTCAGTTTGTTCTGAACTGCCCGACTGGGAGTTAACTCCTGGATTGTTTGAGATGTATAGGGGGCGGCAGATCTTTGTATCTAACTAGTTAGCTATTAGTTATTGAACTTATGGCGAGAAATCAGACTTGCTGCTGATGCTGCTTCTGCATTGCACTCTAATTCTTGACCAGATGATATCAAATCCTGTCACTGCTTGGTTTTGCGTTAAAATCTAGGAGCCAGTTCGATCTTGGATTCCATGCTAACTATCTGATCTGAACTTCGGTTTCATTGTTGGCTTTGCATTTGTGTATCTTAGTTTACTTATTACTCACAATGCTTTATTTTTTTTATTTATGTTGTTGCCATGTCATAGGGTGCTGGTAAATCTGCTGTCTTGAACAGTTTAATTGGACATCCAGTTCTGGTGAGTTGCACATCCTACACCTTCTAAGTCTTTTGAATAGAAACAGTGAATGCTTAGTCCTATGTGTTTCTTTTGAAACTTCTCCTGTTAATTTTCCCAGCCAACTGGTGAAAATGGGGCAACTCGGTCTCCTATAAGCATCGACTTACAGAAGGATGGTTCATTAAGCAGCAAGTCAATTGTTCTGCAAATCGACAACAAGTCTCAACAAGTTTCTGCAAGTTAGTACCTACTACCTGCTGTTGGTTGTATGATTACACTGGGTGTTATTTTTTCTTGTATCTACTTGATTTTTGCTATGGTGAAGGGCCACAACCATAAATACCTTGAACTTCCTGTTTCCATGAACTGTGTAATTTTAAGTTTCTTCATTTATGATGCATGCTTGAGTCCTGCTTTTGATTTCTTATGCATTATGGCTAACATTTACCTATATATGAGGAACAGACTTGAGAATCTCTCCTGTGCTTTCTTCTGATTGTTCTTGTGCTTTAGGTGCTTTGCGGCACTCCTTGCAGGACCGCCTGAGTAAGAGTGCGTCCGGGAAGAACCGAGATGAAATTTATCTAAAATTACGCACAAGCACCGGTTAGTGTATGATCTTGGGATTCAGTAGATGCACTTCTGTTCTTACACTTAGTTATTTGGATCTGCGATACATTTTGTCTGTGTAATGATCTATTGCTGCTGCCTTACCTAGTTCGAGCCTTTGGGTTATTGTGGATCTCAGTCTGATACTTCTCCATATGATCTATTTTCATATTTTATATATATCCGAATATAATCATTGTGAAACTTAACACAGTCTAAAACTCGTGGTCACTGTAGTAGTACAGAAGCTACCTGCTTGCTCAATTAATGGTTGGGCACTGCATGTATTTCATCGTGTTGAATTACAACTGTACAAGCCTGTAATTTTCATTCAATGGAGTTTTGCTTACAGTTTAATACTACATTCTTGCCCTAAAAATTGTTTGTTTTAGGTGTTTGCACTGGCGGTGAAATCTATTGGGCAAAGCCACCTGTCATGCTATGGATTATTTTTTCCTTTTGGCTTACATTTGTTTTATCGCCATCTGCGTGCAGCTCCCCCCTTGAAACTAATTGATTTGCCTGGGTTGGATCAACGTATCATGGACGATTCAATGGTACTTTCTGCTGAACTTTTGCCATTACTCTAATTAATCTTAGTTTTTGTTAGAAGTTTCTCAGTAGTTTGCTGATTGATTACATTCTGTTTCTAATCACCGCGTTTTTTATTTCTTGGTAACGTGTCACTTGACGTTGTTAATTTCTCGGTCCTTTCTTAGGTTAGTGATTATGCTGAGCGCAATGATGCAATATTGCTGGTTGTTGTTCCTGCTGCCCAAGCACCTGAAATTTCTTCGTCTCGAGCTCTCAGGGTTGCTAAGGAATGTGATGGAGAAAGTAATGGCCTGCTCTTGTTATTTTTATTTTGTTTTAGTGTCTGAGTTTGAGATTGCAATTACTCATTGGTGAGTGCTTTCACGTTTTAAACAGATGTCTGTTTTGACATGTTTTGTTTGGCAGGTACCAGAACCATTGGTGTGATTAGTAAAATTGATCAAGCCGCTTCTGACCAGAAAGCCCTTGCAGCTGTTCAGGCTCTTTTGCTAAATCAGGGGCCACCTAAAACTGCTGATATCCAATGGGTTGCCTTAATAGGTCAATCTGTTTCAATTGCTTCTGTGCAGTCTGGGTCTGAGAACTCATTGGAGACTGCATGGAAGGCAGAGAGTGAGAGTCTGAAGTCCATACTAACTGGAGCGCCCCAGAGTAAGCTGGGTAGAGTAGCTTTGGTCGATGCTCTGGCACAGCAGATTCGTAAACGTATGAAAGTTCGGATTCCTAACCTCCTATCAGGGTATTGTTCTTTCCTTGATGAAGATTTTTCTCTGCTTCTATATTTGCTTTCGTCATGTGTGGGTTTCCATGTTGTTTACCCTGTTGGATTTTCTGGGCAAGCAACATTCTGTTAAATTATTCTTCCTGAACATAAGCAATTTAGCAGACATTATTCTTTCACTTGCTAGTTCTAGTTTCATTATGGATCTTTTTGGGAAAGTTTAGGAATTCATGATCGAGAAGTATATTTTCTCATGATGATGGGCTTTGCTAGTCCAACTCTTTTCCACTAAGATGCCATAATCCCACTGTTGGCTTGTCTAGTTAGGTTTAACGAACAACTTATTTGTTAGAGGAAATCACTTTTCGATGCACTCAGTTTTTGTTTCTGTTCAGTTTACAAGGGAAGTCCCATATAGTTCAAGATGAACTAGTAAGGCTTGGGGAGCAGATGGTCTCAAGTTCTGAGGGTACAAAAGCGTTGGCGTTGGAACTTTGCCGTGAATTTGAGGATAAGTTTCTCCAACATGTTACTACTGGTGAGGTATGTATCTAGGCTCGCATAAAGTCATGCTAGAAGCTTGTATTGGATATATAATTTTCTTCTGCATCATGTGCCTCAGTTTGATCCAAATTGTTGAGGAAGAATGGAGAGTTAAGCTGGGTGCTATTCATGCGCCAGTTTTGGTTTTATCTGTTGCATATGCAGAATAATTGTATGAGAATTGTTCTGAAACCGAAATGTGCTTCTCTGACTATTACTATTAGAATGACTTTGCAAGTGAGTTTCTTTCTGTCTGCAACTCATGTGAACAAAAAGCAACAACATAGTTTGCCAATAGAATTTCACCACTTGATTAGAAACTGTTGTTGGGTTTTGGTTACTTTGATTCACATCGTGCAATACTGTTGTTTTCGTGGCTTGTAATGGTTTGTGTAGTTATATAGAAGAATATAATATTTTTTCTTCTGTAGGGTTCAGGCTGGAAGATTGTTGCCAGCTTTGAGGGTAATTTTCCAAATAGGATGAAACAGCTCCCACTAGAAAGACATTTTGACATCAATAATGTTAAGCGGGTAAAATTTCGCCACCTTTTTCGTAACATCTGTTACTTTTGGCTGTCTTTTACTCTAGTCTATCGAACTTCTTCATGATCTTTTGTTGCTCTGTGTTATCTATCAGATTGTGTTGGAAGCAGATGGGTATCAGCCATATCTGATATCACCAGAAAAAGGGTTGAGATCACTAATAAAAGGTGTCCTGGAACTTGCTAAAGAGCCAGCACGGCTTTGTGTTGATGAGGTGTGGAGATTTATAAATTCCAGAGGAATTTGTCTAAAATTGTCACCATTTATAACTTTTCCTATTGGAAACAGGTGCACCGAGTCCTGGTTGATATAGTCTCTGCATCTGCAAATTCTACTCCGGGTTTGGGGAGATATCCTCCTTTCAAAAGAGAGGTAGGATTATGGCTTTACTATTTACCTATTGTTGATTATATTTCTTGATCAAGACTATGCATGAATGTGAAGTTTTTAATTACTTACTTTACCTTGTTCCAGGTTATTGCCATTGCAACTTCTGCATTAGAAGGGTTCAAAGGTGAAGCAAAGAAGATGGTTGTCGCGCTAGTTGATATGGAACGGGCATTTGTGCCTCCCCAGCACTTCATCCGTTTGGTCCAAAGGAGGTAAACTAAGCAAGTTTCCTAGTAAAATACTCTAAAAAGGGTTAAACAACTTGAATTGGTTGCTTATTATATGCACCCTCTTTTAGGAAATTACCACACCTTTGGTTGCATGTGATTTTTCAATTGTCAGAATTGGGCTTGCTCTCAGCTTTGTATTCTGACATTATTTAGGTCTATTTCTCTTTCTTTATGGTGTGATGCTGATGATCTTTGCTTGACCTGAATTTCCTAATAGTTTGATCTGCTTTCTTGCTAACACTAGTTTCCTGATTGACTTTAGAATGGAGAGACAGCGACGAGAGGATGAGCTCAAGAACAGGTCATCCAGGAAGGGACACGATGCGGAGCAATCAATACTAAACAGGGTAGGACATAGCTTGAGTATTGAAAATTGGATAATAGGTTGTTGCTTTGGCTTGTTGGTTCTTTATTCATCTTATTGAATTTTCTATGGCTAGGCTACTAGTCCTCAGACAGATGGTCAAGGAGGGAGCTTGAAATCACTGAAAGATAAATCTAGTCAGTCAGAGAAAGAAGGAGAGGGTTCTCTAAAAGTTGCAGGGGCTGAAGGAGAAATAACAGCAGGTTAATAATTCATTTGTGCTTTTTTATCCAAAATTAGAAGATGATATATTTGCATTCTTGACGGATTTTTCTTAATACCCAACTTCTGCAAACTGACGATACATATGCCATTGGGTTTTGTGTGAATGATTCAACCTACGCTGTGTGTCTAAACCATTATATATTGGTTCTACTTTGATTGTTGGTTTTGGAAGTTGAATGTGGATCTGTACTTGTCTCTGAGAGTCGTGGATTTGGTGCCTAGTAGGAAGTAGTGTCCCTGCTTTGGTCCTTTATTCTATCTTCTCTTAATGTTTTGGAAATATTACATTTGAAAGTTGTCTTGAGTAGTTTCAGACTGTTTTTTTTTTAAATCTTGTAAGGATACCTATAAGCTGCTTCTCACTTATGGAGTCATTTCAGTGAACTTTTTCAAAATGTGTTTTGTACTGCCCTTGAGCATATAGTGTTGATACTGTTTTCTCAATTCTCTTTTATCTGCAGGCTTTCTATTAAAAAAGAGTGTTAAAAAGTCCGATGGGTGGACCAAGCGGTGGTTTGTTTTGAATGAGAAGTCTGGGAAGGTTTGTTTTCATTTGGCATTACATCCTCATTTTATTGTTTTTTCGCGGACTATAAGTTTCACCAAGTGTAAGCTGGTTGAGCCTTGATGAAAGAAATACTAAGAGACGAATAAGACCTACACACAGTGTATCCTTCTATTCTGCTGTACTTGATTGAGAGGTTGTTAATTTAATTCAATTGTCTTGTTTCACAGCTTGGTTACACCAAAAAGCAGGAAGAGAGACACTTTCGTGGTGTGATCACCTTAGAGGTATTAAACCTCTTGCTATCCTTTCTTGCTTTTAAAGGGACTTTATTCTTGTGTATATTTCATTTCCTGCAATATAATCACTTTTTATCCGTGTTTAATTGGTTGGGAAACCAAACACATTGGAAAGCTTACCCAAGTTTTTAGTCTGTAACTTTAGATATTGAGTCCTCCAATAAGTTGTAGTTGAACAGGCGTGTCATTGTCCTGGATGCTATTAAGCAACATGGAAATATCCATTTCCGCATATATTAATGTGACTGCCCTTTTGCTCGTTATAGGCCTGAAAGCTGGCTTTATGCCATCATTTGTGCACTTCTCATATATGTTGTTTAAACTAGTTGGTATTTTTTGGGTGTATGTAATTTTTATTGTATATTTTGTCATTATAGGCCTGTAGGAGGTTTGTGTACTAAGATATATATCTTAAGACTTACACCAGTTAACCATTCATGATTTGCTGAGATTGCCATGAGTACATGATTCTGAAAAAGCCTTGCTGTTTGATTTGAGATGGTATTACTTCATAGCGATTCACTGATTATCATCCTCTCACTATTTCAGGAGTGCAATGTTGAAGATATTGTTGAGGATGAAGAACCCCCAGTAAAAGATAAAAAGGATAAAAAAGATAAGAAAGCCAATGGACCAGATTCCAAAGGGTCCAATCTGGTTTTCAAAATTAGTAGCAAGGTTCCCTACAAAACAGTTGTTAAAAGTATGTGTTTTTCTCTAGTTCTTTGCTTCCTGGAATTGCTCATGTTACTTGGTGTCTGATTAGTAGGTGCCAGTTCCCATCCTAAAGTCTTCCATTTTCCCTGCAGCCCATGGTACACTTATTTTGAAGGCTGAGAGTGCTGCTGATAAGGCTCAGTGGATCAGCAAAATATCGAAAATTGCCCAGATTTCAAGACCACAGCCTAGGGGTGCTTCCCCTGATGGTGGTCCCACTATGCGCCAGAGTCTCTCCGATGGTTCGCTGGTATGTTCTTTAATTCTCTCCTTTCTTTCTGTTGCATCCTTTTCTTATATTTTTCGTCCTGAGTAGTCTATTTTATAGCTGCAGTTGCATTTCGTTCATTCTATTTGTGACAATTTCCAGATGGTTAGTTAGGGTGTTCTTTTTAGAGTTCTTGGTCGACCCTTGTTAACTCAAAACTGAATGTATTTTCCAGGATACAATGGTTCGAAGGCCTGCAGACCCTGAAGAGGAGCTTCGATGGATGTCCCAAGAAGTCCGGGGTTATGTCGAAGCAGTTTTGAATAGCTTGGCTGCTAATGTTCCTAAAGTGAGCTCCCTCAATTAGTGTTCCCTTTATTTCCTCGACGATGACATTGCACTTTGTGGTAATATTTTACTGCTGTTTTAATGAGCAGGCAGTAGTGCTTTGCCAAGTGGAAAAATCCAAGGAAGATATGTTGAACCAGCTCTACAGCTCTGTCAGGTTTGACTGATTCTCCTTAGTCAACTTCCTCATCATCCATTGTGCTTTTCGTAGCCGCCTGATCAATTTTCTGGAACGTGTAGTGCTCAAAGCGCTGGAAGGATCGAAGAGTTGCTTCAAGAGGACCACAATGTAAAGCATAAGAGAGAGCGGTACCAGAAGCAGTCGTCGCTGCTCTCTAAATTAACACGCCAGCTCAGCATTCACGACAATCGGGCTGCAGCTGCTGCTGCTTCCACCATGCCCAACGGCAGTGCAGGTACAATCTAACTTTGCCCCCTCCTCGAGAGAACCCGCTTCCTTTCAAGGTCACCTCAGTTTGGTGCTAAATTTAATTTGTTTCTCGATTCGTTCCATTGCAGAGAGCAGCCCTCGGACAAACGGTCCACCTGTAGGTGACGACTGGAGATCCGCATTTGATGCTGCCGCCAATGGCTCGGTGGATTACGGCCGATCTTCATCAAACGGCCGCAGCCGACACTCATCACAGAATGGAGACGTGAATGCGAGTGGCCGCCGCACTCCGAACCGGTTGCCACCTGCGCCACCGGGTTCCTCTGGGTATAGAATTTAAGGCGAGGAGGAAGGAGGTTTCGATTCAATTTAATATTATCCGTCCCATATTATATGATGTTGGTGTTGAGGGTCGTGTATTTTTTTGTGGGAGGGCGAAGATTACTTGCGCATTATCTTGGCCCAGAAACTTTCGGACGAGTCTTTGCGGGTTGGCATTAGAAAATTAGAGTATTGGAAACTCGTTATAGGGTGGTTTTGTGTACATAACCAACACAGTTGATCATATATCAGGCTTCTCTCTTTTTGTTTCTTTTTTAAGATTTTCTTCTCATTTTGACTGGCTGAGTGACCCATTAAACATTGAGCTTGATGTCTCTTTCCACTTTGATTTTGTTGGGCTTTTCTTTCCCTTTTTGCCGCTTCTGTTTTACCTTTCTTGGGCCTCTTTCGTATTATTTGTTCCCGTTTCCGCTAGGGAAAAGGACAAGTTAACCTTTTCCTTTCTGTAGTAGGACAGTAACCCTACCGCCTTAGGACTGCCCTACTTTATTATTATATATTAGGTAATTATTACTGTGTTACTTCATCTCAGCAACCACATCACTCAGCTCTTTTCTTTCGTCTCAAGTCTCAGTCCTTTCCTTTCACTTTCCCGTTCGACTTTCCTACTCCCCCGTAACCCTATTCAGCCATGGGAGACTCTTTCTTGGCGTATGCGAAGGAGCTCTACAGAGCTGGGAAAGTGAAAGAAGCCTACTTTATGGCGGAATTCGTCTCCCGCAACGATCCGTGTTGCCTCGGCACTCAGCGGTACCTCGCCGTGTACGGCGTCCATGCAGCCGCTCTGAAGCGGATCGGGCTTTCGGCGATCGATTGGTACGCTGTACTGGGCATCCAAGACCACAGCACGGCTTCCCCAGAGAGAATCACTCACCAGTTCGTCAAGCTCCGGAAGCTGATCGGTCCGGTCCGTTTCACCTACCCGGATCAGGACCTCGACCCGCTGACGACAGCCGCGGCGGAGGAAGCGTGCAGCCTACTCAACAAAGCGTACGAAACCCTCTCCGACGAGAAGTTGAGGTCGGAGTTCGACGCCGAGTGTCAGATCAAGCCGAAGGAAGATCTCCCGCTTCCTCCGCCGCCTCCTCCTCCTCCGCTCAAGGGTTCAGGGACTATCGCCACCGCCTGCTCTGTTCCAGCCGTTAGTGTATTGAGGAAAGGGGATCACAAACCACCGGTGAAGCTACCCCCACCGCCGCTGAAGACATGCAACACCACCTGCCATAGCCCTATTCCAGCAGTTGAAGTAAATATCAGGGGATACCGCAGAGCGCCGGAAAAGGAAACGCCTCCGCCGCCCAAGAGTTGGAGGACCACCTGCCGCAGCTCTGTTCCAGTCGTGAAAGTAACAAGCAAAAGATACCGGAGAGCGTCGGAAGAGCTAAAGCCGTCTACGCCGCGGGAGGGATGGAGGAGGACCACCTGCCGCAGCTCTGTTCAAGTGATTAGCAAAGGGTTTCGAAGACCATCGGGGAAGCTACTACCGCCGCAGCATTGGGAAGATGATGATGCTAGGAGGATCCGTGTATCGTACAGAAGACGCTGCCGGGACGTTCCAGAGGATGATTCAAGTTCCCGGCGTAGCTCGTGGAGGCAGGCTGGAATTTGGTAGGCGAATCGAAGAATTGTGAAGAAGAGAAGAAGAAGAAGACATGATTTGATTCTTTTTGTAAATGAATGTAAGAAGAACTACGTAGACCTGATCCCCTCCCATATTCCCGAAAGGGATGAACTTTTTTTTTGGGAATTTTGTAATTCGGGGTACGTAGGCAGCCCATCTTGGGTGCGGTCTAAATTAACTATAAAAATTCAATTTTGTTCTTTAGCCATTGCCACAAATTGTGAAGCTTTATGATATACAATATGCACAAGTTATGCTCCACCTACTTAAGAGCTCATATGGGATTCTCCGAAATCTCAATTTCAATATCGGCAGTGTCGTACGGGCTGCTCCGATCACCAAGAACCCAGAAGCTCCGCTATTGAACTCCCTCGTGAAATTTCTTGATGATTTGGAAGGGCGCGAACCAGAGCAAGCTAACACTGCGCTGCGTACTGAAGGATGTTATGTTTGGAGGATGAACCAGAGGAAGTTGCAGCTTTTACTTCGAAACTGTGGGGAGCTGGAATCTCTGAAGAAGATCCATGCCCGAGCCGTGATATCTGGATTGCTCCGTGCCCATCAATCTGTAGCTTCCAAGCTGTTGAGTCGCTACGCGGAATTTGGCGGGACAAGGGACGCGCGGAAGGTGTTTGATGAAATTCCCAGCCCAGACATCGTGTCCTTCACCAGCCTCATCCATCTCTACTTACAGGACCAACTTCCAGGCCGAGCGTTCCTGGTGTTCTCCCAGCTGGTTCACTGTGGTCTTCCACCTGACAGCTTTTCAGCAGTGGGAGCGCTCTCTGCCTGTGGGCGAGGTGGGAATTTGATTGGGGGCAGGATCGTTCACGGGATGATACTCAGGTTTCAGCTCATGGGGTCAGAACCGATTCTGGGTAATGCGTTAGTAGACATGTACTGTCGAAATGAGAGAATCCGTGCAGCAAAATTGGTGTTTAAGCATATGATTGCTGTCAAGGATTTGTCTTCATGGACTAGTTTGCTTAATGGGTTGGTGATGAACAACAAGTTGGCCTCTGCTAGAAGAGTATTAAACAAAATGCCGAGCAGAAATGATGTAGCTTGGAACTCAATGATAACGGGCTACATTCAGCACAAGATGCCAGTTCAAGGTCTTATCATGTTTAAGCGGATGAAAGCAGCTGGAGATTGCCCTCTCACGGCTGTAACCTTTGTAGCAGCTCTTTCAGGCTCTGCTGATATCGGTTCGATTTATCAAACCCAGGCTATCCATTGTTGCATCAGGAAGTCTTCTTCGGATTCTAGTGTCACCATCAGCAATGCTTTAATAGATTCCTATTCAAAAGGAGGCTGTCCTGATTGTGCCAGAAAGATATTCGATTATATACGGAACAGAGATGTTTACTCATGGACAAGCATGATATCAGGCTATGCATTCCACAGCCAAGGAACGGAAGCTCTTGCTGTTTTCCGCTACATGTTGGAATCAGGAGCTATTCCGAATACTGTAACGTTCTTATCAGTGCTAACAGCTTGCAGCCATGGAGGGCTTCTCGTCGAGGCACAGAAGGTGTTCTACGAAATGATTCACACCCATCACTTATACCCCAGAATTGAGCATTATGGATGCATTGTCGATCTTCTCGGCCGAGTGGGACGTATAGAAGAAGCTGTTGAGTTTGTCAACAAGATGCCTATCACCCCGGACGCAGTTATTTGGCGGTCTCTGTTGAGTGCTTCATTGGTGAATGGGAACTTGGGTGTAGCTGAAATGGCTGGGCAGAAGGCCATTGAGTTGCAGCCAGATGATGATGGAGTTTACGCAATGCTGCACAACGTGTATTGGGCAGCAGGCAGAAGTGGAGATGCATTGAAGGTAAGGAAGATGGCTAGTCAAAAAGTCTGTAAGAAACCAGCTTTTACTTGGGTCGAGATCAATGGGATTGCTCATGGGTTTCTTGCTGAACACGCAGCTTCAATTCGTCATTGGCCTGTAGAGGTTCAGTCGGTTGTAAGGCAGGACACTTGGCAACTCAATGATGAGTTTTCACTTTTCTTAACTTAGAATTCTTATATGGTTTAGGGGCACTAAGAAAGGATGCTGTTTTTTGTAACTTAGAATCCTTATGGTTTGGGGGGCATTAAGACTATCTCAGTTCAAGGATGCTGGTTTTGTTGGAGTTCTCGCTGCTTCAGTGCTTCTGGTCAATTAAGGCATAAAAAGGATGAGCTGGGTAAAAATACTACAGAACCATATATTGAACCCGACGTGAATCGAACACGCAACCTTCTGATCTGGAGTCAGACGCGCTACCATTGCGCCACGGATCCTGAGGATGTCTAATGGTAGGAAACAGTATTTTTATAAACAGTATTTTTGTACTAGGAGAAATTGATTAAACAAACTCCAAATTGATCAAAGAATCCCATGTCTATGCCTAAAATAGTACAAATTGATTAAACAAACTCCAAATAATTAAAATAAACAAACTAACAGTTAGGTCCAGTAATTAATGTGATTGGATTGAGTACTTTGCCAAAAAGATAGTTAAACAACTTGACAATATAAATACCATGCATGCATGAAGTAGAGGTCTAATCAGTTATTAGATCTCTGCCAACCCAAAAAAGATCCAGGTTTGTTAGACCAGCCAGCTGAATTAGAATTACTGTTAGGTCTAACCAGTTGGCCGTTAGTGCTTATTTACCTACTTGGCCCGATTAGATTCCATCAAATGTTCAACCATATCAAAGCTTCCAATGTGCTTGCCCATCAAGTGTACTCTCCCATATATCCTTACAATCAAAACTACGTACCCTATAAATTTCACATCTCCTTTCACCCAAACTTCCTCATCACCATCCGCTCACCTAATTAATCCAAGACACATATATCATAACCGAAGATCGAAGAGTTAACAAAATGAAGCCCACAACAGTTCCCATAGTAGCTTCCTTCTTCCTCCTCCTAGCCACCCTAGCCTCAACACAAGTACCGATCTCACTAGCAGCTTCATCGTCATCTTCGTCTCCCATCCCTGTCACCGACGTGGATGGCGCCACTGTTCGCTCCGGCCTCAACTACTTCATCCTCCCATCCGTCTCTGGACATGGAGGAGGTGTAGCCCTGGACCGAACTAAGACCAAGAAATGCCCACTTTCCGTGTTCCAAGACAACTACGACCTCTCCAAGGGCCTTCCCGTCGTGTTTCTTCCTCTCAACGCCAAGCCAGGCTACACCGTCCGCACGAGCATAGACCTCAACATCGAGTTCGCGACGGAGACTGCCTGTGACGAAGCTACGGTGTGGAAGGTGGAGAGCTACGACCATGACCTGGGACAGAGGTTCGTCGGGACGGGTGGGATTGAAGGGAAGCCCGGTCCTAGGACGGTCGAGAACTGGTTCAAGATTGCCAAGTTTGGTGGGAACTACAAGCTCGTGTATTGCCCTTCTGTGTGCAAGCACTGCAAAGTCGACTGCAAGAACGTGGGAGTTTTTGAGGACGAGTACGGGAAGAAGAGGCTTGCTCTTAGTGACGAGCCTTTGGTGGTTAAGTTCATGAAAGCTACCAATTGAACTAATTACTGAAAGTGGCGTCAAAGAATTTTATCTAGTGTGCTCTCTGCTAGCTAGCTAGCTAGCTAATATAGTGTCAGCCATAATAAGAGCCAAATGCACAATAGTGTAAGCTCATGATCAATCGGTTTGCTTGTTGCTTTGATGAATAATGATCATAAATGATCAATGGTTGTTTTTACTCTTTCTTGTGTGTGCACATTCGTTACTTTTGTTTAATGAAAAAAAAAAAAAAAAGGTTTTCTACTTAAAGTTTGAGCTGGATGAAGATAAAGTAGAGCGAATAAAACCATAACAATGATTAAATCCTTGTAGCAGGAGATTGAACAAATAGTAAAACATTGATTATATAATAAGAGAAATAATAAAATGATTGATTATATAATTAAAACGATTGATTGTCGGTGATAAGGAAGATCCATGAGGAAGATCGAACATAGATGAAAATCGAAACAATTTGCTCAGAGATCAGAAATTTGATGAGGGAAGAAATGGAGATCAGTGTAGGATTCTGAGGGAGGAAAGGGAATGAAGCGACTAACCAAATGACCAAGGTGAGATGCCGCTAGGAAGAAACATAGATATGATTCGACCATCCTCTGATTTTCCGGTTGAACCAACTCAAAGCCGATTGTAATACCCACATTTTGAATTAATAAAATTTCAGGCTAGTTATAAAAAAAATACAATGTTGTACAGTAATCTTTACTTATCAATGTGTCACGAAAACACAATAATGTGGGCCTATGGCTTGGCCCATGATCAAACCGAATTGGGACATCAAGGGTAGTCGCAATTAATTTATCCGAAGTGGGAAAGAGAAGAACAACAAGCGTGCATGAGCCAACTAGTCCAGTCCAGTCCAGTCCAATATGGATTAATTTGATTTTGATAATAGATTTTTTTTTTGAGAAATATGAAGATGGAAATTGGACTATACTATTGTATTCAACTTGATTTAACTTAGTTATTGAATTGAAAATGTCGGGAAATGAGAATGGAATTAATTAGTTAAAATGGTATTCAATTATTTCTTACTTTCTTTGTATATTTTAAGATGCAACCAAAATCAAAACTAATAAGAAGTCTTTGCAGTTCTATCAGAATCTATCGCAACTAAATCAAACTATTTGCGAATCTATCCTAATCAATTCAATTTTATTGCTAAAATGGGAAGGATTAAATTATCAGCAAGTGGATATTTCATGTACAGCCACGGTATTAATGCCTAAATTAATAATCTATTGGGTAGTGATGCAATTTCAACCTGCTCCGCGGGTATTACCCGACTTGACCCGTGATTGGGCGGGTATTACCCGACTCGTAGTAGCGTGGAGCGGACATGGGTATCTACTTCCTACCTGTCTGGCCCCCGCCCCGCCCCGCCCTGTTCTAGGCTCATTTTATCTCAATTTTTTATAGTATTTATACATATTTTTTCTATTTTGACTTTTCTTCAACTTGTTAGAGTCGATTTTTCAACTTGTAAGACTCAATTACCCATTCTATTTTCACTATTTTTCATTCATAAAGGGTTTTTCCCTTTGTTAATTATATCGTAAAAAGTAAAATTTGAGTATATTTTTCCCCGAATAACATGTAAGAGTGGATTGACCCGCCCCACCCCGTATCCGCTCGAGTTTTACCCGCCCCGCCCCGTAATAACGTGAGACGGAGCATGAGATTTGAGTTACCCACCCGCCCGAGGCCCGACCCATTACCACCCCATCACTACTATTACTGGTTGCTAGCTAGCTAGTACTTTAATTTCTAGACAAGCCCACAGTCCATGCAATTAAGTTGTTACCAGAACCAATAATTAATTTCTCATAAAGTTGGATGGGAATTGGTAGATTTCCAACGAAAAAGGCCCATTGACTGATGATGGAGATGCTTATCATAATGATTTGTGGTTTAGTAACTAACTTTTCCCATCCTAAACTTTTTTTCTTCTTTTCTTCAGCACACCATTTGGTCTTAGCTAGTCTTCGCTCATATGACTAATAATTAATTCGATAATGCAATATGCTTTCACCCTGAAAAGACTTCATCACTCAACTTGGACCCCTTCTCTTCTAGAATGGAGCTACACTCCCAAATCAACTTGCTCCTTAGAATACTTGGACTTGTAACTCTTTGTTTTGGAATTTTCACCCATTTTCACATTACAATATGTATAACACATGTTGTATGGATCTCTCCCCACCCCAATATCAGACTCCAAAATGGACCAAGAGTCAATAAAACAGGTGGCCAGCCATTTTGACTTCATTGCATCTCTCCTGCAAAATAGATTAATTAACAGATAACTAGAATCGATTACAATTTCAACCTCAACGACAAGAACAATTCTTTTCTTTAGCAATTAGTTTAGTACCCATCTTATGAGTATTATGGAGCAGGACGTACATGGGTCATTACTTCCTCCGCCCTTCCCTAGTCCATCTCATCTTTAATCCATTTTATCTCAATAATATTCATTCGTATGTACGTTGATTTGAATAATTTTATTAATTAACATAAGCATGTTTAATTAGTGAAAATTTTCGTGTGGCAAATAATTCGAGTTTATTAATCATGTATAATCATTTCTTGTTTGTTGCATGTTTCTCATTTAGATTTCATATTGACCATAAAAATATTGCATATTGTTTTTTTCAAATGATAAAAAAGAATAGACGACCGATCTATCTCGATCCATAATGTTACTCAACCTAACCCACATCATGCACAATCTAAGTAAGAATCTTTGACCTACCCACCCTATTGCCTGCCATCCCCAACTATAAGTACATAATCGTTCCTTCCATCTCCTGCACTCATCTCATCAGTAAAGGCTATTCTTGAATACATAACGAAAACCAAAACATCCACTATATAGGAGAAAAGAAAAACATGGCCGCCGCGGCTAGTCCAACACTACTAGTGTTACTATTACTACTACTCCACAACTTCCCCTCATCTCCCTCCGCCGCCTCCCCCACCGCACGACGTCTCCTGGCCGCCGACGACCAGGACGTCCAGTACTTCCCCGACGCCGCGGTATCCGCCGGCCCGCCGGTTCCTATCCTGGACATCGAGGGCAAGACCGTCAAAGCCGGGGGCAGCTACTACATCATCCCGGCCAACACCACCACGCATGCCGGCGGCGTGGGGATGAGCAGCCTATCAGCCACCTCCACGTGTCCGCTCTCCGTGATCCAGGACCGGCACGCGGACTCCAACGGCTCCCCGCTCTCATTCCTCCCCGTGGCCACGAAGCTCGGCTACATCGTCCGCACCTCCACGGACTTGAACATCGAGTTCACCACGACCGACGCGTGCGAGGAAGGCGGGGTGTGGAAGGTGGAGGAGTACGACGATGACGTGGAGCAGTGGTTTGTGGGGACCGGCGGGGTGGAAGGGAAGCCAGGGGCGAGGACGGTGGAGGATTGGTTCAAGATCGTCAAGTACGGAGTTAATAATTACAACTACAAGCTGGTGCACTGTCCGGGCGTGTGCAAGTCTTGCAAGATCAAGTGTAAGGACGTCGGGGTGTTCGTTGACGAGAATGGGGTCAGAAGGCTTGCTCTCACCGAAGACCGCCCTTTTGTGGTCAAGTTCATGAGGGCTGATATATAGACAGACAGTTAAGGGGGACACAACACTACAAAGCTGATTGATCGACTGCGTCGTGCATGATCTTTCCTTTTGCTAGAGTGTTCAAATTCTACCAACATTTTGCGTTTTTATTATTATATATTGTGATGTTGTACTATTTTGAGAGTGTCATTAAAATTAGAAAAGAAAAGGAAGAATAATAAATGCGTGTTAAGTTTCGATATGGTAAGTTGAAATTGCATGATTCGATGTTGGTCACGACAGATTTGACGGTTTTGAGCAATGAATGATGGAGTTTAAGACATGAACTGATATGGTAAGGGGTAGCATATACAAAGTGCAATCATTTTTTCTTAATCGTGATATTTCTCACTTGATTTTCACGGAATTGAGCGGATTTCTTCCGAGTCCATTTTTTGCAGATTCCAAAAGTGTAAAGCTTAGTTTTTTGGGCGATTTTTCCGAAATACCATTTTCGTTTGATTTTGGAGGCTACATGTCACGGATTTAGTTCGAGGCTATTCTCCACCGATAATGAAGTCTATTGATCCTATTCCACACAAATAATTAAGTCCATATTAAGCTCAGAATTGGGCCAATTTACTTTGGGATGGCATTTTCATAATTCTTTGGGCGATTGTTTTTCGAAAGGTCATTTTCCTTTGAGTTTGAAGGCTACAGATCACGGATTTGGCCTGAGGCTATTCTTCAACGACGATTAAGTCCACTAAGCACGGATTTGGGCGGACTTTTTCCCGCTCCATTTTTTGCAGATTCCAAAGGAGTACTACATAGATTTCGTGCGATTTTTCCGAAATGTTATTTTCTTTTGATTTGGGAGGCTACAGATCATGGATTCAGTTCGAGGCTATTCTCCACCGATAATCAAGTCTATAGATCCTATTCTCCACCAATAACTCAGTCCATTAAGCACAGAATTGTGCTAATTTATTTTGGGATGGCATTTTCGAAATTCTTTGGGCGATTTTTGTTGATTTTGAAGGCTACAGATCACGGATTCGGCCTGAGACTATTCTTCAACGATGATTATGTTCACTAAGTACGGATTTTGGCTGATTTCTTCTGGGTCCATTTTTGACATATTCCAAAGAGGTAACATCACAGATTTCAGGCGATTTTCCAAAAATGCTATTTTCTTTTGATTTTGGGTGCTACAGATCACGAATTCAGTTCGAGGCTATTCTCCACCGATAACGAAGTCTATTGGTCCTATTCTCCACCAATAATTAAGTCCATTAAGCACAGAATTGGGCCAATTTATTTTGGGATGGCATTTCGTAATTCTTTGGGCCGTTGTTTTTTGAAAGACCATTTTCCTTTTATTTTGAAGGCTACAGATCACGGATTCGACCATAGGCTATTCTTCAACGACGATTATGTCCACTAAGCATGGAATTTCGCTGATTTCTTCTGGGTCCATTTTTGGCAGATTCCAAAGGGGTACCATCACAGATTTCAGGCGATTTTTCCGAAATGTTATTTTCTTTCGATTTTGGAGGCTACAGAACACGGAATTTTTTCGAGGATATTCTCCACCGATAATGAAGTCTATTGGTCCTATTCTCCACCAAAAATTAAGTTCATTAAGCACAAAATTGTGTCAATTTATTTTGGGATGGCATTTTCGTAATTCTTTGGGCGATTGTTTTTCGAAAGGCCATTTTCCGTTGATTTTGAAGGCTACAAATCACGGATTCGGCCTGAAGTTATTCTTTAACGATGATTAAATCTATTTAGCACCGATTCGGGCGGATATCTTCCGGGTTAATTTTTGGCAGATCCCAAAGGGGTACCATCACCGATTTCGGGCGATTTTTCTGAAATGCCATTTTCTTTCGAATTTGGAGGCTACAGATCACATATTCAACCCGAGGATATTATCCACATATAATGAAGTCTATTGATCCTATTCTCCGCCAATGATTAAGCCCATTAAGTATCGATTTGGGCGAATTTATTTTGCGATGGCATTTTCGTAATATTTTAGACGATTTTTTCGAAAGGCTATTTACCATGGATTTTGAAGGCTACAGATAAGGGATTCGGTCTGAGGGTATTCTTCAACGATGATTAAGTCCATTAAGCACTGATTTGGGCGGATATCTTCCGGGTCAATTTTTGGCAGATCCCAAAGGGGTACATCACCGATTTCGGGCAATTATTCCGAAATGCCATTTTCTTTCGATTTTGGAGGCTACAGATCACGGATTCAACCTGAGGCTGTTCTCTACATATAATGAAGTCTATTGATCCTATTCTCTGCCAATGATTAAGCCCATTAAGCATCGATTTGGGCGAATCTATTTTGGGATGGTATTTTCGTAATATTTCAGACGATTTTTATCGAAAGGCCATTTACCCTGGATTTTGAAGGCTAAGGATCACAGATTCGGTCTGCGGCTATTCTTCAACGATGATTAAGTCCTTTAAGCGCAGATTCGTGCGGAATCTTCCGGGTCAATTTTTGGCAGATCCCTTCGGGGTACCATCACCGATTTCGGTAGATTTTTCCGAAATGCAATTTTCTTTCAATTTTGGAGGCTACAGATCACAGATACAACACGAGGCTATTCTCCACATATAATGAAGCATATTGATCCTATTCTCCGCCAATGATTAAGCCATTAGGCATCGATTTGGGCGAATTTATTTTTGGATGGCATTTTCGTAATATTTTAGACGATTTTATTCGAAAGGCCATTTACCATGGATTTTGAAGCCTACAGATCACAGATTCGGTCTTAGGCTATTCTTCAACGATGATTAAGTCCATTAAGCACTGATTCGGGCAGATATCTTCGGGGTCAATTTTTGGCAGATCCCGAAGGGTTACCATCACCGATTTTGGGCGATTTTTCGGAAATGCTATATTCTTTCGATTTTGGAGGCTACAGATCACGGATTCAACCCGTGGCTATTATCCACATATAATGAAGTCTATTGATCCTATTCTCCGCCAATGATTAAGCCCATTAAGCATCGATTTGGGCGAATTTATTTTGGGATGACATTTTCGTAAAATTTTGGACAATTTTTTTTCGAAAGGCCATTTACCAGGGATTTTGAAGGCTACAGTTCAAGGATTCGGTCTGAGGCTATTCTTCAATGATGTGTAAGTCCATTAAGCACAGATTGCGACAGATATCTTCTGGGTCAATTTTCGGCAGATCCCAAAGGGGTACCATCACTGATTTGGGTCGATTTTTCCGAAATGCCATTTTCTTTCCATTTTGAAGGCTACAGATCACGGATTCAACACGAGGCTATTCTCCACATATAATGAAGTCTATTGATCATATTCTCCGCCAATGATTAAGCCCATTAAGCATCGATTTGGGCGAATTTATTTTGGGATGGCATTTTCGTAATATTTTAGACGATTTTTTTCGAAAGGCAATTTAACATGGATTTTGAATCCTACAGATTACGAATTCGCTCTTAGGCTATTCTTCAACGATAATTAAGTCCATTAATCACCGATTCGGGCGGATATCTTCGGAGTCAATTTTAGGCAGATCCTAAAGGGATGCCATCACCGATTTCGGGCGATTTTTCCGAAATGCCATTTTCTTTCTATTTTGGAGGCTACAGATCACGGATTCAACCCGAGGCTATTCTCCACATATAATGAGGTCTATTGATCCTATTCTCCGGCGGTGATTAAGCCATTAAGCATCGATTTGGGTGTATTTATTTTGGGATGACATTTTCGTAATATTTTAGACGAATTTTTTTTTCGAAATGCCATTTACCATGGGTTTTGAAGGATACAGATCACGAATTCGGTCTGAGGCTATTCTTCAACGATGATTAAGTCCATTAAGCACCGATTCGGGCGGATATTTTCCGGATCAATTTTTGGCAGATACAAAAGGGGTCGCATTACCGATTTCCGGCGATTTTTCCGAAATGCCATTTTCTTTCGATTTTGGAGGATAAAGATCAAGGATTCAACCCGAGGCTATTCTCCACATATAATGAAGTCTATCGATCCTTTTATTCGCCAATGATTAAGCCCTTTAAGCATCGATTTGGGAGAATTTATTTTGGGATGGCATTTTCGTAATATATTAGATGATTTTTTTCGAAAGCCCATATACCATGGATTTTGAAGGCTAAAGATCACGGATTCGATCTGAGGATATTCTTCAATGATGATTAAGTCCATTAAGCACCGATTCGGGCGGATATCTTCCGGGTCAATTTTTGGCAGATCCCAAAGGGTGTACCATCACCGATTTCACACGATTTTTCGGAAATGCCATTTTCTTTCGATTTTGGAGGCTACAGATCACGGATTCAACGCGAGTCTATTCTCCACATATAATGAAGTCTATTGATCCTATTGTCCGCCAATGATTAAGCCCATTAAGCATCGATTTGGGCGAATTTATTTTGCGATGGCATTTTCGTAATATTTTAGACGATTTTTTTTTCGAAATGCCATTTACCATGGATTTAGAAGGATACAGATCACGGATTCGGTCTTAGGCTATTTTTCAACGATGATTAAGTCCATTAAGCACCGATTCGGGCGGATATCTTCCGGGTCAATTTTTGGCAGATCCCAAAGGGATACCATCACCGATTTCGGTCGATTTTTCCGAAATTCCATTTTCTTTCGATTTTGGAGGCTACAGATCACGGATTCTACACGAGGCTATTCTCCGCATATAATGAAGTCTATTGATCCTATTCTCTGCCAATGATTAAGCCCATTAAGCATCGATTTGGGCGAATTTATTTTGGGATGGCATTTTCGTAATATATTAGACTATTTTTTTCGAAAGCCCATTTACCATGGATTTTGAAGGTTACATATAACTGATTCGGTCTAAGGCTATTCTTCAACGATGATTAAGTCCATTAAGCACCAATTCGGGCAGATATCTTCCGGGTCAATTTTTGGCAGATCCCAAATGGGTACCATCACCGATTTCAGGCGATTTTTCCGAAATGCCATTTTCTTTGGATTTTGGAGGCTACAGATCACGGATTCA